ACAATCATTTTGGGAAATAAATTATTTTGTGATGCAAAGGTGACAGTATATTAAGTAATCACTTATGAACCAGATACCGAATTTACGCAGAATAGGAAATCTTTCTTATAGTTTATAGAACTTAGATAAAAGTTTTTCATCAATGAGTTCCATATGAAGGAAATTTAAGACTAACAACACAGTTTTAGAGTCTCAGATGTCACCATGTGATATTGAATCACTTAGACTATTGGTTATATCTCACATTGATTGAAAGATTTCTTTTATTATTAGAGAATTAAAGAGATATGACATTGATCATCACTATTTCGTAATTAATTGATTGTAGCGAGAGAATCGGTGTAGATGTTCATTTGAGTTTTTTTTTAATTTTATTCGTACACGTTGCAAAAGATTCTCTAATAATGAAAAATTATATTTCTATATCTGCATAAAATTGGTCGACATAATATATGCAAATTTGTAGATTATTTTTATGAAACCGCGTGACTAGGTAATCATCAAAATAGTTCATTTAAACAAATATTAAATCAGTAAGATTTGTAGTAGTAATAGAAGAAGTAGTAGTAGTGTGGTGCGTGCTCCTTATATTGATATAAGTAGTATATGACGTGAGTCAGAAATGTAATGTCTGGCAGCAGAAAATGGGGGGAAGATCAAGAATGCAAGAGTGGGAATAGAATGCAATTGTATGAAAGTGCAAGGGCAATGAAGTCTGAGGCATTTTGAAACAGTTGATGAACATCTTACAAATTAACGATTTGATATATGGTTCTGATATATGGATCTGATATATATGTTCTGTTCACTACAGTAGTGATTCAATTGAAAGACAAATAAACAAAATGGTTTCAAAATTGTCATACATAGATTTGTGGTTTATAAGGTTGTTTAGTTTAAAAATAAATTCATGATATGGTTTGTATTTATTCATGTATGATTGTAATTAGTTAAAATGAATGAACGAAAATGATATTTGTGACATAATTGTTTAGTATAGAATAAAATACATTCAACAGTTTCAAAGAAACCAAGAAATTGCGCCATCGTCCACCATTGTCTTCAATGAGTTACTATCTCACAACAGACCTGGTTGAACTCCAATGGTCATCACTTCTCACAATTTCGTAGATCGGTTGAAGTTAGACATAAACATTGTTGAATGCGGGCTAAGTGGTCTAGAGGTAAAGCGTTTGCTTTTGAATCTTTTGAGCGTGATCGTGCATGCTCAATACTGAAGAGTCCCACAATAGGACGAAACGGCCGTCCAGTGCTTCTGAGTTTTCAATGGTTGTTTACCACCAATAGGTTAATGATCTCAATCAAAGAATAACGGGATAGCAGACAATCGTGAATATTAGAGCTTCAATCCCTGGTATAGGAATCCGTTGAATATCAGGAATTGTTATAACATTCGTAGTAACATATTATCCAGTCATTAACAATCAGTTTCAGCCAATAAATAAAAGAATTGCCTTAAAACAAATAGCACATGTTTCCAACAGCTGTTGAATTTCTGAGCATTCTTTCAATCTATCGAAAATTACAATTTTGTTGATTGAGATCATGAACCGATTGATGTTTGACCACCGTTGGGAACCTCGAAGCACTGGACGACCGTATTATCATTTTGTGGGACTCCTCAGCAGTGCACACCCACGGTCTCGCTCGTGGGATTCGAACCCAGAGCCCCAGTCTTGCGCGCGAACGTTTAACCTCTAGACCACTGAGCCGGCATCCAACAGTGTTAATGTCTAACCTCAACCAATCCATGATTACAATTTCGCTGATCATTTATTTTATTCAGTTGTCACTATTTATTATTTTAAGAAGACAAATATTCAGAAGTAATTATGTTCCACTTCATAGAGTATTTGACAAAATTAAAAAAACACAGTAAATAACTAAGTAATTCTACCATGACAGTCATATTTCTTGAACCTGAAATTCACTGAAAATTTATACACTTGAAAGAGTTTTAAATGAATTCATTCAATGTTTCAGATGAAAATTGTCAATAAAATATTCAGGCTACGGTCAACTTTATCTATGAGTAATCTGTTTTACTCAGTTGACAATTAAGTGCTATAAATGCCAATCTGTATAATTTATAATGATAGTCAATCAAATGACTACATGATGAAGTCGATAAATACAGTAATAAAGTTGTCAGATGTAAAAAATAATGCATATCTACAACATCTCAAATCTGTACACTAAAAACGCTAGACATTCCAAAGAATTCATCCAACTGACATAAAAGACGACTGTCTCAAATGATTAACTAACGTTATAAGACTTGTTTTGATTTAAATACCGGCTTATTATTGAGTTAGTTTTATCGACATTATTCTTGTTATGAACAATTCACATCCGAAGAATCAGTAGAAGCCAGAACAAATTTGAGGGAAGCTTTTTTCAAATTTGATTGCATTGTTTAAGTCTTCAACGTTTTTATACGATTATTCATGCAGATATCAGAGGATAACAAAAATTGACTCCAGGTTATTGTGACTTTTTTGATACTTTAAATATTACGAAACATCTACTTATGTTATAAACTTAAAAATCATAATCTCTCTAGTCAAGGTAAATATCGTGCTCCTTCAATAGAGATCGTTCGGTATTTAAGGAGTAGATAGAACATTTCCAGAAATGACGAAACAAATCAGCGTCATCATACATATATATATGTAAGGGGTAAGATAGTCACCTACATTTCTGTCAAGGTGTTTTAATAAATTTCAAACGATGTAATTAGTGCTCTGCTAAATAACAATTACCTGTACACTAAGTTACATCCGGTTTCGGCTTCAACTAATTCAAAACATATCTATCTATCCATTTAGTCTAGATGTTAGGTAATTGAAAGAAATCAATATAAAGTAAAAAAAAGTCCAGATTTTCAATCCTTCTATACCAATTATTAAGGCACATATATCAATCTTGAAGGAATAAATAATTCTTTTTGAATTTAAAACCACTGTGGTATGAGCTACTTATATCCACACAAGTAGTATACAATCATGGTCAGTACTAGAATGTATTTCAGTAGAAGATCGAAAAGGAAAGGGCAGAAACGGAAAGCAATCGGTATGAGAATTCTATATTGTACCAAAATATAATATTGAATAAAGCCATTAATAATAATAATAATAATAATAATAATAATAACAATAATAATAATAATAATGAAAATGCACGAACAATGAAATCTGAGACTAGAGACTGATATTTGCAAAAGGAGCAGTGAAGTTTGAGACAAGTGATTGATAGTTTGCAAATAACATTTTACTGTATGGTTCCAAGATTTTAGTGAGATGTTCTGTAAGTTATTGTTTAAGTACATTCCATTGTCCCCACTCGTGTTCTTATTCACTACACCACATTCATTTATCGACATTATAAACTCTCTTATTATGGTGTTTCTGCCATAATCCCAACCTTCGTCGAATTGACAAGAATGTTCTGTAATAACTTAATGAATTGTATGATAGTGAATGAATTTGTACGACGAATCTTGGATTTTGATGACTTCATTACAATCTACTTTAAGTTCTAAAAAATACACTTCACAAAGACCAATAAATGTGAACAATATTGATGAATTAAGCAATATGAATGATAAATTATACTTTTTTAAAATGTGATCAACTATTTGAACGTGTTAGTTCGATGGATGCTGTGTTGACATTTGATTCAGAATATAAGCTCTAGATATAACAAATACTTTATATTACCACATTCCAACTACTTTCAATTCATCGTACTTATTGTCAATACTTGTTACTGAACAGAGAAATCTTGAAAGGATAAAGTTGTTTTTTCATGCAATTATAACTACTTATCAATTTCTGAATAAAATCTCATTTGAAATGAGATGCAGGTCCAATAAACGATTATTTTAAATTATGCATCATTAGGAATCATTTAGTATCACGTAACGTTGGTTAGTTATTATACCATAATTCATCGTCATCCATAAAGCCTCACAGAGATTACAGTAGGGATTTGTAGATGTCATGGAAGTTCAGTTTTAGATCATTTGCACTATCAATTGTTAAATAGTGTCGATGTTAACTGACTTCTAGTTAAATTATTATGCGTTATAAAAAATAATTATAGCGATTGAATGTAATCAAACACTGAATCATAAATATAGTCACAATTCACATATTAAAACTCAGTAGTTCCATATCTAAGTGGATAACGCGATGACGTTTGAAGCGAACGGTATTCAGTTCGAGTCACAGAGTGAACATCAGCTCTGAGATGCAGGTACATCCAGCTGACGTGTCTCAAAATAGGACGAAACGCGCGTCCTGGATTCCACTGCTAGCCACTATCCATCTGTGCACAATTGTTGCTTAAAATGGAAACTTTTCCATCACCTAAACAATTCACCCAGTCAATATTCAATAATTTAATGCAATTCTCAGGTTTATCATTGAGTTATACTCTTGAAACGTACTGCTTTATGAATTTGTGAATATTCATCGTTTGAGGTGGTTGAGATATAAATAATGTATTTCTAACCATCTTTTACTCCAAACCGCAGGAAGCAATCGAACTAAGACGTAACATCAGTCAGTCAGGTTGACAAGTGAAGACTGTCGCGTTTTGGTTAGTGTCCAATGGTTGGAAACGTTGGATGACTTTGATTATAATTGGTCATAGTGGCACAGACCATTTTTTTCTTAGATCCTAAGTTTTGAAGTTAGTTCGTATATTTTCATCCTCGAATTCATTCCTTCATCTAAAACCATATTTCTTTTAACTAATTTTTACTTACTAACGCTGATACCATAACTACTACTACGTCGATATTGATCTTGTTGTATTTGTGTAGCCCAACAACTTGAACCGATGTACATTTACCCTAGGTTCTATGTTACTTATAATTGATGGAATTAAATACAACGTTTGTTGTAAAGTTTAGGTTAACTTAATGGTACTGAAGGTAGACATTCACTTTTGTTTTTTGTATGAATTTTTTTTAGAAAATGCTAAATGTCCAGATCCTGCACCATTATTAAACGGAAATGTTGTATTCAATGATACAGATGTTGGAGACATTGTGGAATATACATGTAAACCAGGTTTAACTGTTCGAGGACAGCGTAAACGATATTGTTTAGCAACGTTAAGTTGGAGTGGTGAGGCACCAACATGCAGTAATCAGACTGAAAGTATGATAAACACATTGTTTGTTAGTAAATTCATATTAAGATATTTTGTAGTATATGCTTTAAAAGGTTAATATTAAAGATAAAATGATCCGGTAAGTGAATTTTCAACCTAAATAAATGCCACGAGTGAAGATTTACTGGTTGAATTCCGTGAGTTTTAATCTTAGTTGGATTCTTCAGACATCAGCAACGGGATAACTCAACATACTTACCAGTGATAACGTGAACATCATACCTTCTTAAAATGTGATTAATTATTTGGACACGGTAGTTCAATGGAGGCTGTGTTGAAATTGGATTCAACACTGGGGTGTCATGACATGAATTTTATGAGTCTTAAATACGATGAAACGTCCATTCTGAATTTTCCTGCTAACTTCAACTCATTTTTTAAACTACCTTCAGACAGTGTGACTGAAGTTCAGTCATAGTGTCTGAAACAGTGGGCCAATCAAAGTCACCAAATGAGAAGGCCACGTTGTTCTAATAAAAAATGTCTTAGTAACTGGTGCATGTTATTGAACATGAAATGCTTTCATTTTCTAAGGAATAGATATACATATAAGTGAAAATGGTGGTGCAATGTTGTGGATCGATTGAAGTTTAATATTAACATCGGTTTATTGGTCTAGAGTTTAAGCGTTCTCATGCTTGAACGCAAGTCCAGAGATCCGAGTCTTACGTGAAGGATCGTAGATTCTCACTGTTGACGATTTTCATAGTAGAAAAAACTGGCTACTCAGAGTTTTCAAGTTTTCAGTGGAGGTTTAACTTGATTTGATCCATGATTACGACGGAACTCAACAATCTCCAAAACTTCATACAGTAAATGAATACTTATACATTTGATCTGATTTAGCCCCTTACACTTTCGTTCTCGCTTTCAGTTTTCCGACTCCATAGCCAGTTGCATCGCTACTCGTAGGATGTTTGTGTCTCAGTATCAGACTCGGATACCAAGCGTTATGACAGTGTTACAGATATATTCATCAATAATCTTCGTTTTGATTTTTCACTCTTGTTAACATTTCTGATTTTTTACTGATTTGATTTCTTACATTTTCTCAAAGTATAATACTTTTGTTTCATCATCATCAGTGACGTTAACATTCTGTTTACTTTTCGGTATGAGGTATGATGAGTTAAACAGATGAACATTTGTTCAAAGTCCTACATTATATGCAGATGAGTGACAATATCGATATTTGTTTGTTTGTTGAGTATATCAGCTTTAATGACTATAATATTCTAAAGTAGTGTGTAAATGAATCAGTTTATTGATAAAGCATATCAAAATTTAGGTTGTCTTATATTCTCTGTGTTCATGATTTAATTATACACCTTTTGTTATAGCTCTAGACAATATCATTAGAAGTTTGAGATAAAATGTGTTACTTAAGTGTCTCAATAATGACAAATCAGTCCGTTCTCATGAACTAGTCAGTGATTGATTGTTTCCCAGGACACTTTAGCTTTACCTGTCTTGATATTTCTGCTAACTGTCTTCTTTATCTGCATAAATGGACGAATAGAGTCTATGTTGGTATATCTACAGATTACAGAATCACTTGAATGTCATGCTTCCAGAAATCGTCTTTTATCCTTTGAATATTCTCATTTAAGCATACCGACTTCCTCAATCAAACTAATATTCCTGGTTGTCGTTGTACACTAATATGAGTTGCAAAATTTCATGTAGTTTCACTTATACTTTCTATTCAGATATGTATAGATGGTGTGGGTTCCTTTTTGATCCCAGTAAATTTTATCTAGAACAACGACCAAAGCTTCCCAATTAATTGTGAGCTCAAAGGTTGGCTCAGACAACATAACGTAATTTAAAACTTGTAAAATCTTCCATTTACAAACAAGTAGATTGTTCTGTTAAATAACATCGTTTGTTCACATTCTGGTGTATAATTTTTCAAAGTTTATGAGAAACATGTAAGTGATCAACAATAGTTAGGATTCATCAAACGTTTTTTTAATTTTGTGGTGGTTCCCAAACAAAAAGAGCTTACACAAAATATATTGATACACTAGGTTAATAGTGATATGCCAAAAAAATTAATAGTAAAGAAACCTAGATGTTTGTCCTTTAGTAAAACCAAAGGTAACAAAATACCGTTAGCATTACAAAAGGTATATTAAACAAACAGACGCTAACAGTTACTATAAAATGAATGTTACTTGTGAACTGCCTCGTGAGAACAACGACCACAAACTGAGTTTACTTGATTGACAGGTGTTCCTCTGCAAGTGACTACACCAATGACGTAATGAGGAAGACGGAGTTCAATAGTATTATACAATAGTAATCCGTGCCAAAAGTCCAACGTTGAGTCGGAAGGCCTATAATGATGTTATAATACTATTATAGTCTTCAATCAAAACGGTAGCCAATAAAACAGAAGAACAAACGGCGTAGATAGTGTTCTATATTTTAAACAACCCGGTAGAAGTAGTGTATATCATTCATCGAAACAATTATCATTGTCTTTTCTAACAAGTGATACAGCAAAACAACAGATATTGAATAAAAATATGGTTACAAATAAAGTGTGACAAATTAGAGAAACAAAAATGTGGTTTTTTATTTTTGTTGTTACAAAAATCACTGAATATATGTCACCATAATTTGAAACAGTGACATTGTATGCACAATTGTTGTATAGTCATTACGTAATTAAGAAACTTTTGATGTATTTATTTCGATACTTGTAAATTTATACAAACAATTCGTTTATTTTTAACTTATTTAAGCTTGTTTTAGTCCACCGGCTATCTTAAACACACGAATAATTCAGTCAAATCAAAATGTCCCAGAGAAGATTCGTGATGACTTTCGATCAGGTGAAAAAGTGAGAATTGAATGTATTCCTGGATATATGGATTCAGAGAGACAATTTATAGAAGCATCATGTGTTGGAACGGAATGGTACTATTCAGAATTGAAATGTGAGAGTAAGCATAACTAGATCTAGACCATTTTTCAAATAATTTAATGTTAAGATAGGTTTCACTTAGCTAAACTATCGCCTGGTTAGCGTTTTTTAGCGAGTTAGTTTTCTACGGGATGGGATGGTAACCCCTTGCCCAACCCTCCTCCTTTACCCGAGCTTGAGACCGGCAGTAACTCTAGAAGAGCTACAAGTGGAGCGCTGGCGGGCGACCTATGTCCCTCCACAAGGAGTAACAGTCGTAAGTAAGTAAGTAAGTAAGTAAGTAAGTAAGTAAGTAAGTAAGTAAGTAAGTAAGTAAATTATTGCCTCAAGCAATCATAATTAATTTTATAGTAAATAAAATATTTTGGGTTTGACAAACAAAATAACGAAAAGTATGAAATTTTGACACGTCCTAGATTCATGTTAAAAAATTAGGAAAGAGTTATTTTTGTCAATTTAAACAGCATGCTTCACAATTAACAAAAGACTTGGTACATGTTTGTTTTCAAAACGATATGAAATTTCACATATTTTAAATGTATTTAAGTTCTTCACACTAAAATTTTTCTTTTAGTAAAGTTGGATTAATGTTATCAGTAAAATCCAGCCTGAAAAATACTGTCTTGGCTTTCAGAACGGCAGACACTGGTTTTTAATCATTCCGAGAACATGAACATTAGGTTACATTTACGTCCTGCTGATGAGTTCCAAATAGAACGAAACACACGTTTTGTATTGTAATTGTAGCTGCAATCCAACCTTATTAAAACTTGTAAGGATGTACGTATAACGACAGAGATTAATCATTTTCAGTCGTCAATGTCAACTAAGTTAAAATACAAACCCTTCATATAGGATTTGCCTTAATTAAAATGGAGGTTGTAATGTTAAAGATTTTGGTATCGCTTACGCCCTATCAATTACCATGTGACAAAATTGCTAATCAGAATACCAACAAATATGACTTTTTCACTGTGATAATCCAATGACACGTCAAACAGCAGTCACAGCCTTGAGTCAACTCTAAATCCTTATTGGTCGCCTGTACTGTTTGTAGCCTCTCACCTAGCCCAGCCCGTTTAGTCCGGGACATATAAAATATAATACATATAACAGACATACGTAGTTTATATACAAGTAAACCAGACCCCATAGGAGAAGTGGGAATTTGGTCACCCAACATAAGATCAGATCAATGATCTTCAGATTTGCGATGGAAACAATACACTTAAACTATCGTCTTGGAGTCAAGTGACTTATAGATTTAACTTCTATCGTTTCACAATATGGTATTAACAAAATATAATCCATTCACTCCCTTCTATAATTTTCCTTCAACGGTTGAACATCACAGTTCATCGTCTACTAGTAAAAATTAAGTAAATCCACTTTTTTTTAATGAGTATGTGACATCGAAGTCTTCTTGAAGTTGGAAGTTTGAACCTTTGAATCTCGAAACCACCATTTAATTATATCTTGTGAAACGATAGTTTGTGTCTTATGCTCGTGGAATTACATTCTGAACATTAGTATACAACTTCGAAATGTTTATTAATTATTAATTTTTCTTGTTACAGGAGTGTCATGTGGTTTTATAAAAGAACCAGCTTATGGATATATTCAATACAAATATGATCAAAGTTTTCAAGCAGAAGCAATTATCTTATGTTCAGAAGGTTATAATGTACATTGCGATACTGGTTTGTTGTCAGTGGAGAATGGCTTAGGTTAGTAATAAAAATATTTATTATTTCTAATTTTTTTCTCATAGTTGGTTTTAGTGAGATGTGTGTTGTGAAGTTTAAGTCATGGCGAAGTTTTTTATGGATTTGGTATTCAAATTATTAGTACAAATCTGGAGGCAGAACTACTGACCTCAGCCGTCCTACATGTATTAGTTCAATATTAATATCTTTGAATCTGATAATGTGTGAAGTTGGTTTTAATCCCATAAGGAGTATCAGTTGCTATGGTTTACAAACGCAAAATATTCATAAACACCAGGGCCTGTGGTCTAGTCTTAACTGCCTCATATTCGTAACGAAGAAACAATATAACACACTCAGTGTCTAGTTATTTGGGTGTTTGGTAACTTGATCAATGGTATTAGTGTCATGGACTTAGGAAACACGATATTAGTTACCACTCAACGGTCATTTAAAATAGACTATGTTATACCGTAAACTATTTACATTTCTTATACAATTAGTAAACATAATCCCCAGATTACACTACAAACTTGTGTAAATCAAACAATCAGAGGAACAAAGCGAAGGAAGCGAAATGGAGAGTGAAGCGAAACGACGTGCAGTGGAGAAGACATGTGAGCTTACTCCATTTAATCAAGCGTTAATCAATATTTATGGCTAGATAAAAATAAGTTACAAACATGTGATGAATATGATAAGAAATGTACACACGTATACGCTCATATAAAAGCAGGCAGGGTTGATAAGTAAACAACTAACAAGGTCAAAACGTGGCTCAAGAAGAGTGGATAAATTGGCCTATCCAGAAGCTAGGATAGGTTATATGGGCTTACTTAGCACCACAAAGATTAAAAATGAACAAACTTGAGTAGAAAAAATTCTGTTAAATTCATTTTGATGGAGTGACACGAAATTACTTATGACACTGAAACTATAATGTAGACGAAGTAATAATTATTTACTAATCTACCAATATGTTGTCTGAATGAAACTGAATATTATGAATAACTAGCAAGTTTGAAAGTCAGTTTGCAATTAAAATCTTGAAGCAAGTAAAATGTTAAAACGACACTACTGATGTGGTGTGAGCTACTTATATCCACACAAGTAGTATATAACGATAGTCAGGAATAGAATGTAATAATGTTCACTCTGGGACTCGAACATCAACTCTGATATGCAAGTACATCCAGCTGACGAGTGCCAAATAGGAATAAACGCACATCCTGAATTCCACTGCTAGCCATTACCCATCTTTGCTTATAATGCTTGTGAATGAAGGCTATGTCGAGGCAATACTCACAGTATGCACATATGACAATATGAGACTGATCATTTGCAGTCCTAAACATTAATGCGAAGATTCAAGTAAACAGTACCAAGTGAATTCTTCTGAACAGACTCTAAAAGATCTTAAATCCATTACTTCATATTACAAATGATACACTTTTTCATATCCATCATGACACACAAAAACAAAAACACTATGATTTAGCATACAGAATCACCTTAACCAAAAATAATATGACATTGATAATTGCAGACTTAAGATTCTGCTTTATTTGCTTCTTACTGTCGTTCATACGTCAATGTAAACATATTAATATTCAGCAGGTTGAGGACTTTATATAACTATCTATTTAAGTCAACGTATACAATGAAAGCGCTTATCACTCAGTACATCAGTTTAATATAACTTGGTTGATATTTTACTTTGAATGGAAAAAAGAAACCATTACTAAATTCACCTGAATAAATAAACATTTCACTTTTTTGTTCATTCACACCACTCAGTTATGCCGAGAAACACTAATTTTTTCAATCTAAAATAGACTAATCATTTTAAAAATAAACTTTACTCATGAATGATATCATCAGTCTTTGAAGTTCCTGCAGAATAAAAACAAAAATTGCTACTTAGAACCCAATTTATGTCAGATAGTTGAACGTACTAACATACTGACTTACTTACTTACGCCTGTTACTCCCAATGGAGTATAGGCCATCGACCAGCATTCTTCAATCCAATCTGTCCTAGGCCTTCTTCTCTAGTTCTATCCAATTTTTGTTCATTCTTCTCATTTCTGTCTCCATTTCAAGGTGTAATGTGTTCTTTGATCGTCCTCTTGTCCTTTGGCATTAAGGATTCTAAGTGGGGGCTTGCCTTGTGACGCAGTTCGGTTGGACGAAATGAGGGGAGAACTCCGAACATAGTTTTCATTCTAGTTGGCATTTCTCATGAAGAAGTATTAGAATCTTGATGCAAATGATATTTCTAATAGGATTTGAACTTGTAATATCAAGCTGACTGGACTAGTTAGTAGTCACATTTCGATCCAATCAATAAAAGTTAATTAACACTAATGCAATAAATAAGCAAGACATTAATCAGTACTTAGTAATCATGTAATTTAAACAGTCTGGTTAATTTAACGATGTTTCACAGTTTAAACATGTTACAAAGTTTTGTATTCATAATTTATTATACCAAAAATGCATAAATTATGAATTTGATACTCTTAGGTTGTAAACGTATTTGCTTAGAAAATGGATCGTGGTCAGGAGAAGAGGTAATGTGTAAAGGTAAGTTGAAGATTATCCCATTACGAATATATGAATTCATTAATATTTCACAAAACATAGTTTCATGAATAGATCTTAATAACATATTATGTAATATAAACAAGATTACATCCATGTTCAATAATTTAATAATGAAACTTTATAAATCAGCATTATATATCAGTGAATTCTTAAGATTTCAAACAGTATTTACTATCACTATGTGCAAAGATGAATATTGACTAGCAGTGGAATCCAGAACGCTCGCTCTGTCCCACTCGGGACTCGTCAGCTCGATGTACCTTCATCTCAGAGTTGATGCTCACCCTGGGACTCAAACTCAGTACCTTTCGCTTCAAACGTCATCGCGTTATCCACTTAGCTACTGATTCTTGAATTTAGTACTTACTATAATTTCAAATGATTCTACAATAATTTCATGGTACAAATTTGCATAAATCATCTAATGAAAACAAGTCTTCCTAATATTACGGATTTTTTTTGTTTTTTCAAAACTATTTGTTATATAGAATCAAGCACATACAATATACAAAGGTAATTAAACTTAATATTGAATATGAACGCTTAACGTACATTCGTCTTCATGTGAGTGTAGTAGACAATTGGAAAATTGAACCGAAATATTTTATCAATACAATGTGGTTTGAAATTCACCATTATAGTAGACTTACACTGGACAAAGCACTATGATATATTACGAACACTAGTTCATTATATTCTTTATAAGATTTCAACTAAACGTAAACCAGTAATTGTGCTTACAGATATATACCCTCTATGCCTAATAGTCTTATACTACAAACTAGTACGTGAAATCATTTTTACTGGAACAAAAATACAAACGTCACTGTTTTGCGAAGGTGATAAACAGATAGATAGGTATTCAAGCAATTATAAACAACGAACAACTTAACATAAGAATGAAGTGAAGGAACGAACAAGTTGAAGGATGTCCCTTAAAGTCTTAAACTGTAAATGACGATAATAATGTGAACCTGAACTTTTCACTTTCTTATTGACCTCGTCGGGTTGTTGCTGATAGGAATAAACTGATTTTATTTTAGTCTTACGTTTCATACTTATGATGATCTTCAGTGAACATCCGAATAAGTTGTGGTATATGTAATACATGTAACACTTTTAATAGTCACAATATATTACACTGTATAGAGATTAGCATCAGGATTGATTGATTTATTGTTTAGTTTCAATATTTATGCTTATTGTTTTCATTAAAATAGCCATTACCTGTACAGAACCACAAGCAATTTTAAATGGTAATAGTGTGATTAGTTCACTTAATGTGAATGGAACACATATATCTAAATGTGATGAAGGTTATGAACTTCATGGATCACAGCAAAGAATTTGTCAAACAAACGGAAAATGGAGTGGATCGGAACCTTATTGTAAAAGTATGTTATAGTTATTCGGATTATCATTTTCTTTAATGTATTTTTCTTATGACAATTTTGATTGGTGTAGTAAATGTTTGACTCCATTCTCTAATTTTATGAATTACGAACAAACTTCATAATATTTTAAGCAAATATGAATAGTGGCTAGCGGTGGGATACAGTTTGACGCGCGTTTCGTCCTACTTGCGACTCGTCAGCCGGATGAACCTGTATTTCAGAGTTGGTGTTCACTCTGGAACTCGAACCCAATACAGTTCACTTCAAACGCCATTGCGTTATCCACTTAGCCACTATCCATCTTTGCTTATAGTGCTTGTGAATGAAGGCGATATCAAGCCAATACTCACAGTATGCACATATGACAATATGAGACTGATCAATTGAAGTCCTCAACATTAATGCGAAGATTCAAGTAAACAATACCAAGTGAATTCAACTTCATAACAGTTAATAAAAGACTAAGTGATAAAATGCTCAATAGAAAAAATGTGTGATGAGTGCAAATGAAATAATAATTGATATCTGTTAAGTTAAATTTCACTTTTTTCGGTAACATTGTTTCATTAACAGTATTAAGTGAAACTAGTATACTTATTTACTTACACCTCTTACTGCTTGTGGAAGAGTACAGGCCGCCCACCAGCACTCTCCATCCAACCATGACCTGGGCAATCCTTTCCAGTTGTTTCAACTTTCTAATCATTCTTTTTCACATCTGCTTCCATTTCACGATGTAGTCTATTCTTCAACCTTCATCTTTTCCGCTTTCCTTCAGGATTCCAAGTTAAGGAACTAGTATACTAGTTGCTTGAATTTATCATTGTTAATGAATAATCTGTTCATTTAATACTGATAATGTCTAAGCTGAAACAGTGATCTTTGGTGATTTATATCTAAGTAGTAAGGGAGTATAAAATAGCCAGGAAGACTAATTTTTAGAAAAATTTAAGAAAATATTTTATTAATTGAATCCACAATTCAGATTGAAATTCATGGAGCATTTGCAAAACAAAATGTTGCCAAATGAAAGTTTGATTGTAAATTGTTGCCAACTGAGAGTAATTCATTGAATTTGTATAATAAAGCACTAAATAGTAAAAATATAATTTGTAGTGCCTACATCAGTTTATGACAAAGAAATTCTCTAGTCCCTTTCAATAAAGAAAAAATGTTATTCAAACAATCCTTTGAAAATTCTTTTATCCATGTTATGGAACCACAACTACATTCGATAATTAAGTATGAAATCTTTAGCGTTTACAGTAGAATCCTCTTGCTCAATTATAAACAAAATTTTTATGAAACCATGATGGTAATAGGCAGTCTAAAAATCACAAATCAATATTCAATATTAAAAAACTATTGCTTTAATATATTCACCATTACACAAAAAGGGGGTTACTTTGAATCTAAGCATCAGTTGTCAAGAGTTTCGATAGAACAATGAGAAGAGAGAGTTGATCTGAAAAATGTGATGTATTAACGCTATACATTTCGAACAATCTGGTCACACATATACTTGTCAAGGCTTTTTTAAATGAAAATTAATAAAGGTCAAACAAATAGAAGTTCAAGTAAAATAACTAAGGGGGCGAAAGAATAAGAAATTGTCGCGTTATCCTAGGCTATAGAATGACTTAAGGATTACCAAGGTAAATCCAAGGTTACGACAAATTGTTTTTGTACACATAAGGGGGGGGGTGAATTTACGAATAGCCAAGGCTTCAATAAACTTAAGAATTCGTCCTTGACAATTTCTATACAACGTTCTAAATGCTGTATTAATGTCAATTTTGTGTCCCGTCTCAATTATATGTTTCGCTATCGATGAACTTGGTTTTCTACCTCCTACATTGATCGGATCAGTTGACACACATTGATTTTGAAGCCATCTGGGCACATGTTCATTGACCCTTGATTGAATTGTTCGATTACTCCTATGTATGTGTGTTCAAACAAACATGTAAATTGGTAAATACAATCGAATGTGACGTAATCATTAGTGCATTGTTTGGGTCTATTAGGAATCATGGCCTTAGACTTTTCAATCAATTACGAGTTTATCACATATTTATTGATGGTAGTTTTTCCACATTTGAAAAATGAATAGTATAAAACTATGTATAAACTGCTTGTTTATGATGCAATGTTTGATTTGACAACATAAATGATCTGGAGTGAATCTACATATCAAATAATATTGAGATGAATTACCAAAGTTTCAATGAAAAACTGTTACCGATAGAGCAAATCTAACCAAGTACAAGGAGACAAGTTTTACTGACGGCAATAAATGACCATCAGCTAATATTACAAATTCACTGACAATAGAAATGTGAACTATTGGAAAATGACTCAGTGACTTTATGCTGAAGTTCTTGCCTCGAAATCACAAGATTTCGGCTTAGATCTCCTGTAAAGTGATAAGCATGAAACAATGAAGAGTTCGATACAAAAATAGACTAGTTATTTAGCACTCTGTATTCTTCTATGGTTTCTGAATAATATCATTTCCTGAGATTGTGTTATACTCGAAATTCAAAGTCTTCAGAAATCTATTCTAATAAAAATGATGTACATACTAACTTTAAAGTTTTTCTGGAAAGTCTCAATCGACAATATTCACCGATGAATATTCTTATGTCTTTTTCGTACAAAAAATGTCAAAATTGCTGGGGTTTATGTTTGTTTTCTTATACATTTTATGGTTTTGTAGAAAAAGATTGTGGACCACCACCTCAAATTCAAAACGGTGAACTATCATTTATAACCACAACGTATGGAAGTAAAGGAAAAGTAATGTAAGTTCAAAATACTCATTCTTTTAAAGACAATTATGAAAGCACAATGTAAATCAATAATTTGTCAGTGGAAAAGATGAAACTTGCCAATTTCATCATGATATATTGTGTTTAAACAAACCGAGTAGCTAAATAACAAACACAAATGAGTGATCACGTTTTTTCTAACTGATTTATATGAGAGTTAAGGTTCATCGTTCCTAATTTCTTCAGCGACAGATAATCAAAAATATTATGTCGTTTTCAAGATATTGTTTGATATTTAGTCCACCAGAGGTAATGTGATTTTCATGATCAGTAGATTTTTTGAAGATATTACATTTATTTTCTGTGGAAGGTTAAACATGAACCATTACGGATGTAGGATTTAAATCTCCACAACCCCATACTGGTAATAACTATGTGCTCATTAGTGACTAGCGTCGTGAAGGAAATCTCGGAGTTCCAATGAGAAGCCGTGACCAGTGTAGTTCATCCGTGTCGGGTAGAGACAGGCATCTGTCTCAGTACAATGTAAGATGGTCGCACAATTTCATGGATTGGTTGAAGTTAGACATTAACACCGTTGGACGCCGACTCAGTTGTCTAAAGTTTAAGCGTTTGCGAGCGAGACTGAAGGCCCTGGGTTCGAATGCCATGAGCGGGACCGTGAATGCGCACTGCTGAGTAGTCCAACAAAGGGACGAAACAGCGTGCGAACGCTTAACCTTTAAACCACTGAGTAGGCATCCAACGGTGTGAATGGCTAACTTCAACCAATCCATGAACTTGAGCCACGGTTCACCAATGTCTTCAATGACTTACTATATCACAACAGACCCAGTTGAACTCCACTGGTCAAGATCATGTGTATACTCTTTATACGGTGGTGTTTAATTATCTTAATGTTTGTTCTTAAGGTACAAATTTATTATGTACAGTTCAGCTTTTTCATTTTCCTTACTTGCACGAAATTATGAAATGTCATAATGCATTTATCATTAAGTTTAATTGGTAAGAATTAAGATTCATGCTATTAGTATCATCTCGTTCGTATTAAACGTAATAAAAAACGTCAATACACAACTTGTAAAGATTCAGAAGTTATTGAATACATTTGTTGACTGAATCATCGCTTACACTATGGATAGTTTGTAGTGGCAGGAAGAAGAATGCACGTTTCCCGTTATTTAAAAATCAGTTACAGGATTTACGCCTGTTATCCGTCGTTGAGGAGCATGGGTCGCCAACCAGTATTCTCCATCCAACACCGTCATCGGTAATCCTTTCCCGTTGTTTTAAGTTACTATTCATTTATTTCATATTTGCATCCCATTCTCGGTACAGTGTTCTTTGATCTTCCTCTTTTCTGTTTCCCGTCAGGATTCCATGTTAGTGCTTGCTTTCAGTTTGATTCAGTTTGATGAATTTCGTAATGTATGACCTGTCCATCTCCAACATCTTTTCCTAAATTCTGCCTTACTTTTCAGATACTTTGTCGACTACGTACACTAGTAAAGCATAGAAATAAAAAGTCGATTACGAAAGTGTTTCATATAAATATCTTTCATCCATTCACTTTGGAAGACAGATTAAGAGGAATGTATATGAGTTGAAATAATAGACTACTCAGGGGATGATGAGTGAATGAATCTTTATATGAGGTGAATAGTACACCAACTAAAAATAACCAACTTTAGTATAGATAACATACATACATAAACCAAGTATATATGTAAATGAATATGTGTGTAGTTAACAATGTCACCAATAATAGAGGAATGTAGGTAGGTTATAAAGTATCTGACAAGATTACAGTTAGATGTTTAGACAAGGATTGACTACTATGTCTTTATTCTAAAGTTGATCAACACGTGACCAGGCAAAGAGTATAGTGACAAATGATGGACACAAATTTAATATTATCACTGAGTTACATGTTCATAATAAAGTTAGTGTTAAAAAGTACTATCCTGTCGAATAAATTCACCAGTAGAGATTGCAAAAATTTTTTATCAACCGTCAGAGTCAAAGGTTTGTTGGATCTTCTTTTTCATGGTTGAAATTATGTCTGAAGGTCCACAAATGTTACACTGATTAGTAACACAAGACTCAATAAAGTTAATAACTATAATACATATGAGAAAATTACAACTTTCATTAATTTATTTTATTTATTTGAACACATAAATATTGGTACAATGGGGCACCATGTATATATGCGCCACATAATAATAGTGAGAATGTGAAGATATAAAGAATGTAAGGTGCATATAAGAAAAAAGAAGTACAACAATGAACATAAATTAGTGTATGATAGTGAAATAACAATAATGAGATGGCCAGTTCAATTAGCAAAAGTACGGCCATAGGTAATTTTTCCACTGGATGCCACTGGATGTCAGCAATCCTTTGGAGACAACGATAATCAAACACAAAAAGTCGTCTAACATCCTCAACTCAGAGAGGCCAGGTTTCACAAGCATAGAGCAGAAATGCTCTCACAGACTCATTGTAGGTCCGACCCCTTACAGACAGACTGACATCAGGAAGGCGCCAAAGATGGTCCAGATTGGCATAAGCCTCTCTGGCTTTCACTATACGTGAATTGATCTCATCACCCACGCCACCACCAGCACTTATGCAGCTACCCAGATACGCAAACTTCTCGACTACTTCTATGTGCTCACTACATAGGATGAGTGCAGGATCAGGGTCCTGCCAATCTTGTCTAATTAACGACAATATCACCAGGGTTGAATTAAAACCGAGGTAATACGTTTTTTGATCGTAATGCTACTGACGTTGTGTTTATTTCTATTCATTAACTAACAATTCTTGTGTTTACTGAAAATACTATCTGCACCACATAATTTTTATTAGTTTTTACCAAAATACCCTTACCAAAAATCATTTTGTTTTTTTTGCTTCCTAACTAACAACTGTTTAACGACGTCAAACGTAAACGTCTTCTAACTCACGCTGTGACAATAAATAAATAAAACGACATACTTTAGTAATAAAACATCCGACAGATGTCACTAGTTAATTAACACTTCACTTTATTTTTACGAAAACACTTAGTGTAAACAGATAAACAAGTTTTAAAAAAATAAACCTATTTTTATTTAAAACAGGTTACTATGCAACGACTTTTTTATTATCCCATAAGATAAATATTGTGAACCATTTCAAGCATACTTTTGACCATTGTAATTAAAGACATAGTTTTAAAGTAAATAAGCAGTACACTGAATAGTCATTGAAATCTTAATATTTTATAGTCATGTAGTCATATAAAATTCGATATTTGGAAGCTCAATCAGTAGTTAGAATTTAATGATTAAAGTAAGTATATTAAGAATCCTTGTGACTGACATTTCGATAACCATTTCAGTTCACATTACTTACTGTCTTAGTCAGAGATGTAGACTAATGCCAAGCGATTAATTCTTAAAATCACCTCAGTAATTTCAATGATCAATTTCAGTCTTAAACGTTCACAAGCATCTATTCTGATCGTATTTATTGTCACTGTCGTTCGGTGAAGATCAAAAATCCAGTAATTATTAAATAAGTAGACGTACGGATGTTTAGTTTTCCATTAGTTATTCAAGGTCGGCGAATCATTGAAAGTTTCCATAAATACAACCACAAAATTAACCATCCCGTCCGTCTAAGCTCATTAAGTAATTATGGTTTAATGAAATGTATTGTCGTGTAGTCAACCATTGGAAATCGAAATTAAATTTTACGCTGTATATCATTCAGTGTTGCTAAATAATCCGAACGTACTCGTTATCAACGGGGGCATAAAATTTTATGCATTGTACAGTAACGTATATTACTTACTTACGCCTGTTACTCCCAATGAAGCAAAGGCCACCGACCAGCATTCTTCGATCCACTCTATCCTGAGCCTTCATTTCTTGTTCTATCCAATTGTTCTTCATATCATGTCCGTCTCCATTTTTCTGTGTAATATGATCTTCGATCGTCCTCTTCTACTTTGGCGTTAAGGATTCCAACTGAGGACTCACCTTGTGACACAGTTCAGTGCTTTCCTCAACGTGTATCCTATCCACTTCCAGCCCTTCTCCTCCTCTGTGATGTGGTTTGTTCTCTCCGACAGTAGGTTTTTGCTGATAGTGTCTGGCCAACGGATCCGAAGTATTTTGCGTAGACAACTGTTAATAAACACCTGTATCTTCTGCATGATGGCTTTCGTAATTCTCAATTTTCCGCCCTATACATTAAAACTGTCTTGACATTTCTATTGAAAATTCTGACCTTGGTGTTGGTTGACAGTTGCCTTGAGTTACAGATGTTCTTCAGTTGTAAATATACTGGCCTTGCTTCATTGATTCACGCCTTCACATTTGCATGGCATCCACCGTGTTCATCATTGATGCTGCCCAAATACGTAAAGGTTTTTACATCTTCAAATCTTCTCCGTCAAGTGTGATTTGATTGATGCATGCTGTGTTGTATCGGAGAATATTGCTTTTCCCTTTGTGTATGTTGAGACTTAGTGCTACTGAGGTTACTGCTATACTGGTGCTCTTCTCCTGCATTTGTTGTTGCGTGTGCGATGAAAGAGCTAGATCATCTGCAAAGTTTAGATCGTCCAGCTGCATCCTTGTTGTTCATTGTATCCCATGCTTCCCTCCGATATTGACGTCTTTATGATCCAGTTGACCACCAGGAGAACTCCTCGTGGAGCCCTCCTGGGGCTAATGCCGGTCCCAGGCCCGGATAAAGGAGGAGGATTGTTTATGGGTTTAGCGAAAAAAACTAACTCGCTAAAAAACGCAAACCAGAAAAAATAATTCGAACGATTAAACAGTAAGGTATATACATTTAGAATAATACGACCCGAAATTACTTTGCATTAGGAATAGAAAAAAATCTGATTTATAACCTTGAAGATAGTTTATATTATTCGGCCAAATAAATATTGCATGACGATCATCCACTGAGTATGGTGATGCTTGTGTTACTTTATAAATAGTTGAACTCCACTTGTCAAGGCTTCTCACTAGACGTCAGTTATTATAGATCATATGATTGAGTAGTGATGATATTTTCCGGCTTTGTTGTTTTAGTGACAGATTAACAATTTCAGCTATGATGTTTCTTCCATGAATACCTCAAAGGTGCATAGGAAGAACATCAAGGTAATATAAAGATGCTTCAAAATATACAGTTTTGAAATTTTACTAAGAATAATAATCATGATTGATTTCTAACTTTAAACTAGATGTGAAGCAGATACAACGTTGTCAGCTGAAAGTGATGAAGTTATTTGTAGTGTAAATGACACCAAGGCTATATGGAAACCGCAACCATTTCCACAGTGTTATAGACATTGCTATCTATTTACTGTAGAACATGGAGATGTCTACTTAATAAATAGTAAAAATTATGGTGATAAACAGATCATACCAATCACTACTGAAGAATTTGGCATAGAAGGGAATACACAAATACACTTCACAAATGCTATCTCTAATCAAATTATTTTACCTGGTGGACGAGTTAGACATGGATCAGAATTGAATGTAACATGTCACATAGGTTATGCATTGATTAAACCAAATCACCCAATTACTATTTGTCAAAATGGAGTTTGGAGTGTTCGAAGTAAATGTACTCCTGGTATGTAAAGACAATTTTAACCTACTTTTTTTGTGTCATGTGAACAGAATTAAATACAAGTATTGCATGCGTATTTCAAAATACCTTTACTAATTAGACAGTGTGTTTCATAAAATCGTTCACTGTTAACTATTGACATTAATCTCTTATTAATTGAAATACATCAATATACCCTATAATCTTTCTTTCATTTACATAAATCAACGATTTTTATTCAAAAGATAATGGGTGAGACTATAATTTATGGATGACCTTTGAACGATGCTGAAGTGACCTTGAGAGTGAACATCTACTGAGTAGGACTAAATGAGCGTTATAAAGCAGTTAGAATTCTCAATTACAGTTGATAGTTAAGGTTAGGAGTTAGATTTAGGGTTTTCATCACGAACTGACATCATCAATGATGCCAAAACTTTATTTAGCCAAATAGATGAATAAATTTCGCGCCGAAATCTGGGACCTGTTATCGTAAATCTAATTGATTCGTTCATTAATTATAGTCTCGCCAGATAATGTTTTCTACTTACAGTGAAAAAAAAAACATAAAAAGGTTGTAACAAAACTGTACCACATATAAACTGTTTTCATAAATAAATCTTTGCTGACTTCTGAAAATGGTTTTCAAACTGAATACTGCAGACAGATCCTCAGAGTTCATCAATATTTCAACTCTTTTTATCTAACTCATCAAATACTATAAGTAAAGAGCTAATTTAAAGATATTTGTAATATCCTTAAGGATACTAAACCAATAGAAATATTAAACTATTTTTAAAAATATCAGAAGGGTTTTTATGGTTATTATTAGTAATTTCTTAATAGTTGATTTCATGAGTCAATTGAATCTAGACAACACTGGAAAACGTGGAAGCATTGGATGACCGTTTTGTCCTATACCTGAATTTAATAACATTTTTTTGACAGTTAAAAGACAGAATATTGAAAGTATCTATAATTTATACCTACTTACTTACTTACGCTTGTTACTCCTCGTGGAGGAGAATAGGCCGTCCACCAGCACTCTCCATCCAACCCTGTCCTAGGAATATAATATATATGCTTATATAATTCTCAAGTAAGTAACAAAATAGGGTAACTAAAATTATTCCATTTAGAAGAATAATTGCAGATCGACAGTTCTCTCAAAGTACTCTAATTACTATTACACTGAAAGAAAGTTAATCTTTTATAGAAGGAATGAATTTTTGACTAGTAATGAAATCCAAAATGTGAGTTTCATCCAATTTGAGATTTGCCACTTAAGTATATCCCTATCTCAGTATTGATAATCACATCGGGTCTTTAATACAGCATCGTTCATTTCAATCATCCAACACATTCTTCGCTGAAATACTCAGTCCATAGAGCCACTCCTTTGTGAAATGGGCATAATATTTATATCGTTATTGAAAAGGTTTTTATGTTGACATTCTGGTTTGAATTTTTGATCAGTTTTATTTGACTATGTACATCTTATGAGGATTACCTCAATACATCTATTATGACACCTGTTTTGTAGGATAAATGAAATATATCTAACAGTTGAATTCAGGATAAGCGTTCTGTTCTTTGAGTGACTCGCTGTCTGGATATATTTGAATCTCGTTGTTGGTGTTCACTCAGGGACTTGAAGCGATCTACCCTATGAAAACATGTGAAAACGGCTACATCAATTCAGTTCTTTAATAATACACAGAGTTCAACTAAGACTGGTCAATACTTCAGTCCAGAATGTTAACAATAAGATGATACAAATTATTCCGAAAAGCGATATAACTTTGAGTTTTCTTAACTGTAACCTTTATTGACTTAGTTTGGATCATGTATATAGGTATTAGAGTTTAAACAATATTTATGTTCATTTACTATCTTTTATCAAAGCTCCATGCAGAAGACAACCACCAAGTTATCCTGGTGCCAGGGTGAGATTTTATAGTCTGAAACACAACTCCTTAGCAAGATATGAACCATTTCCTGGCTACGTGATGACTGATAGTCCTAAGAATCTGCATCAAATAGACAAAGTGAATACATATGAAGATCCTAAAGGAACTTTACGTTGCTTATATGGTGAATGGGTTGGAGCTCCCTTGAAATTCGAACCAAGTTAGTCAAATCGCCTTATGTATTATTTACTTTTAAAATATTTCTTCATTAATTATACAGTAAGCAAAAAAGTGAAAAATTGGAACAGACTATACATATGTAACTAACACTTCAAAGTTACATATTAATTTCAAATAAACGAGCACTAATGGCTTATTTTAGTAATATATATCAACCACTAATTAGAGTTGACCTAATCGGAATTAATGTTGAAAATTATTCAAAGCAATTTAAAGACACTGAAATAATACATGATGTAATATGTATATAAATATGGTAGATAAATAAATAAATATAACTATGAATAATTATCGAAGCGAAAGTTAATGATAACTTGTGTAATCATCAATATGGGGTTGTGGAGATTATCAGGTTCTTGATTGAGATCATGAACCGATTGATGTTAAACCACCATTGAGAACCTGGAAGCACTGGACATCCGTTTCGTCCTTTTGTTGGACTCCTCAGCAGTGCGCATTCACGGTCCCGCTCATGGCATTCGAACCCAGGGCCTTCAGTCTCGCGCTCGAACGCGTATCCACTAGATCACTGAGCCGGCATCCAACAGTGTTAATGTCTAACTTCAACCAATCCACGAAATTGTGCGACCATCTTACATTGTACTGAGACAGATGCCTGTTTCCATCCGACACGGATGAGCTCCAATGGTCACGGCTTCTCACTGGAACTCCGAGAATTCCTTCACGACACTAGTCACTAGTGAACACATAGTAATTATCAGTATAGGGTTGTGGAGATTATTAAATTCTCGATTGAGATCATGAACCGAGCAGGGTCATGGATGCGCATTGCTGAGGCGTCTTACAGTAGGACGAAACGGCCGTCCAGTGCTCCCAGATTTTCAATGGTGGTCTAACATCAATCGGTTCATGACCTCAATGAAAAAATAAAGGAGTATATTTTACCCTTATGTAAGTTATTATGCAGATGAAGAATAAATTTATTCTAGTTATTTTATGTCACATATTGATACGATTATATCTCACTTGTTTACGATTTATATCCAAGTTATGATTTGCTAGAAATCTATAGACTCATATACCCATTGATTTCGAAATTATTATATTGAATACCAACATAGGCACTCTTACAGTTTGACAGATTGATTATTTCATCCATAGATTATTACGTCTGGGTGAAAATTAACTCTTTAACACTAAAACTTAAGCACAATATACAATTTATCTTCTCCCCTATTTACTACTTGTATTCTTTTGTCTCACTTTAATACACTTTCAAAATGTAATTTAATAGTTGGGTTCGTGGTTCAATTAAAGCTAAAACCCCATGGGAAACCTGGAAGCACTGAACGGCTGTTTCGTTCTTTTTTGGGACTGGTCACGACTTCTCACTAGAGCTCTGAGAATTCCGTCACGAAGCTAGTCACTACTGAGCACATGTTAATTATCATACGTAATCATTGAAAAATTGATAAAAATTAATTGTTTTTGTACTTATTTAAGCGGTAAATAATTTTCATTTTCCATTTCTAGTGCATTGTCCGCCTATAGACATAATTGCACCATTAAAAGCAAATGTTTCAATTGATGGAATGTTATTTGATTTTCATGAATCAAAAATAATCCTAAAACAAGAAACAATTATAATATTCTCATGTCCTAAAGAATATTATCTAGATGGTCCTAAATACATAGTATGTCACCTGGGTCATTGGTTACCGAAACCAATCTCGTCATGCAAAAAGAGCCCTCCGATGTCAAGTATACAACAATGGCTGTTCAATTCAGGATAACAATTATGGATATTTGAATAAAATTCTTATGTATTTACATTGAATTTTATTGTTTTATTTATATTCACCTCAAAAAATAGTATGTGATTATCTTCATTGAATAATGTTTTTATGAAATTATAAGAGAAAATCATACTACTAAAGGTTCCTAACAAACTAAACAATACAGGAAACCGTAAAATTGAAGAATAGAAACGAACTAATCCGATTGAAAGATCTAGTTCTCAAAGATCACGTGAACATTTTGAGTAATAATTTACAAAGCCGGTCAATCCAGTTCAATTCTAAAGTCGCATAATTATGTGCTTTTCTCAAGCATTTCATAGATGTTCATTCACAAATATAGTGGATAAAGCTAGTGAAAGCTTTTCAATAATTAATCAGAAATCTTGGAAATTCTGATCCATAATATAAACCAATTTTCTAAACAAAAGTGGATAGTGGCTAGCAGTGGAAACCAGGACGCGCTTCGTCCTATTTGAGACTCGTCAGTTGGATGTACCTGCATCTCAAATGGCTATCAGGACTCAGTAACTAAGTGGATAATGCGATGACGTTTGAAGCTAACGGCACTGACTTCGAGTCCCAGAGTGACCAAAAAACGAGATGAGGGTACATTCAACTGACGAGTCCCAAATAGGACGAAACGCGCGTCCTGGATCCCATTGCTAGCCAATATCCATCTCTGCTTATTCAATAGTCTTGAAAGTTTAGATCCATAATATGAACCAACTTTGTTTATTATTATTCATGTTTATTTCAAATAGTTCGCATCTACGTTTGTAGACATTGAGTGAAACGACTAAAAACTAGTTTATTTTATTTATCTTCTCTTAATTGAAATTAATACTATTATTTAATGTTTTAAAAACATAACTTTCATTTGTTCATTATGAAAAATATCATTGAATGTCTTCTATCATTGACATAAACATTTTAACTCCTGAATATATCTCATGTGATCAAATTTCTATCATTTTACCATTCTGAAATTAATATCCAAAATGAATAATTCAGACAATTCCTAATCATGAGTCAATTAAAGCTAGACTACCATAGGAAACCTGCAAGCACTGGACGGCTGTCTCGTCCTAGTGTGGGACTCCTCAGTAGTGCGTACCCATGATTCCGCCCCGTGAGATTCGAACCCACCCAGTGCTACCAGGTTTTCTATGGTGGTCTAGCTTCAATTGACTCATGAATTAAACTACAAAATTACTAGAATCTCCACAAAACCCCTTCCGATAGTTTCTAATCAGCTAATCTATTGTGTTTACATGCATCAATGTAAACTAAATTACTTATCAGTACATATAAATCATCAGTTAACGGGTAGGTAGGTAGGTAGGTAGGCAGATAGGTAGGTAGGTAAGTAGGTAGGTAGTTAATGGCAAAAATGTCGAGCTGTCGAGATATACTGTAATCATGATAAAAAGACTATCCAGTGAAAGTATAAAATGTTTTTGTAACAATTAACTTTGTAATGAATACACTAAAACATGTATGCATATTCCATTATGATAATTTTAAGAGACTGTTAGAGTGAAATTGAAAAATCTTTACTCATTTTTGGCTGATCTAACAATGAGTTTTATAAAGAAATGAGGTAAGTGTTATGATTGCCAAAATCCCCGTCGCCAATTGTTATGACCTTGGGTGTCTGGTTTTTCTATCACACGATTTATCTACCAATCCGAATACGACTTATACGAATCTTCACACTAGGCCAACCAATGACGTTCAACCGGTGTGGGCAGTTTAGCGTCCTTATTGGTCCTATGTCCTACGAGCCCTTCCACTTGAGTACAGAACACAATACCAGCTTCCGAATCAGAGCAGATCGTTTATTTCAGGCATACTTGGTTTATATATCAATCAGACAGACCGCAACGTACCATAAAATAGGAAATAATATTTGTACACAAATAAGCCAAAAAGTGGCTGTGAATGTGGGAGGCATTAGTTAATAAACTGAACATAACTTAAGAACCGTAAATCGTACAATAATAAATTATAGGTCAAAATAAAGCTTATCATAAAAGGAATATAAATATACATAGTGTAATTGTTGAGTAGTTATACAATAAGAATATTTATAGAATATTAGTCCATGAATAGTCCTTGGAATTACCTGTAACTTAATCTTCACCGGATATAACACCTCCCTTTTTTTGAAGCATTAGAGATAATAATGATCCTTAGGATTTATTTTTATTCGATTGGGTTTTCGTCTGATGCGCTGCGACCTCCTTGGGAGTGTTTCACACGTCTTGTTATTATTCGGATCATTTTTAATTTCATTATTCGACTCAGTTAATATATTTATTGGTATATTCGACTTTGTAGCATTTCTGTCTCTCGTTCTTGTCTGGTTGGCTGTATCTGGTTTGCATGTCTCACCCATATCTTTTTCCAACTTTTACTTCGTAGATAACTTTCCCTTTTTTTCGTATTATTATGCCAAACTTCCAAGTTGGCTTTACTCCCGTGAAATCTCTTGTTATTACCGCTTGTCCCACCTTAAACCTTCTGGGCAATGCACCGTGCCGCTTGTTGAATTGCTGTTCCATTCGTTTGTTCTTTCGGAGGTTGGCTCTAAGCTTTGGTTTCATTTGCTCCATAGGTATTCTAATCTTTCTCCCAAAAATTGCTTCTGCTGGGCTTTCTTGATTATTTGTTGTTGGGTTTGGTGTTGCTCGGTATGTTTGTAGAAATCTTTGAATCATCTCGTCTATTTCACCTTCTCCCTCGGCTTTAAGTAGCGCTCTTTTAAATGTATCTACGAACCTCTCGACTAGACCGTTTGACTGTGGATGATATGGGGGTGTCTTTATATGCCTAACAGCGTTGGCGGCGCAGAACTTCGAGAATTCAGCGGAGGTGAACTGTGGTCCATTATCGGATACTAATACATCTGGACACCCAAAACAGCTAAATACTTGTCTCAGTTTTTCAATAGTAGCTTTTGTAGAAAGAGACTTTACGTAGTGGATTTCTGGCCATTTTGAGAAAGCATCAACCATCACTAAGTACTGTTTTCCGTTTATGGGACCGGCGAAATCTACGTGTACTCTTGACCATGGATTTGTTGGTGTCCCCCAACTCTGCATTTCTGTCTTACGAGGGGCTTTGATAGCTTTTGCACACGCGGAACATCTCTCAACATATTCTTTGATCTGAGCGTCAATATTCGGCCAATATACGTATCCACGTGCAAGTGCCTTCATCCTTGCTACCCCTGGGTGTGCGGCATGCAGTTGTGACATCACCTTACGGCGTAAATTTATGGGTACGATTACTCGATTCCCAAACATCAAGCATCCATCCACAAGTGATAGGGAATTCCGACGGTGGGAATACTGTTCAATATTTTTGTCGTCTATATGGGCAGGCCAACCATGTTCGAGGTATCTAATAATCTGCTTCAATTCATCATCTTCTTGAGTATAACGTCTAATATCTTCACAGGATAACGGTGTTGCTTTTATGGCAACTTGTAGTATATGGTGAATATCATCTTCCAACGATATCGTTGCGATAATAGAATCTTCACTTTCCTGCTTCTGATTAGCAATTAATCGAGATAAAGCATCAGCTTGTCCAAACTTTTCAGTTGATTTATATAGGATTTGGAAATCATAAGCAAGCAACGTAATAGCCCAGCGTTGTAACCGATTCGCTGTATAAGCAGGAATACCTGACTTTGATCCAAATATAGATAAAAGCGGCTTGTGGTCTGTTAAAAGCGTAAATCGACGACCATAAATCATTTTATGAAATTTCTTTACTGCAAAAACTAAAGCTAATCCTTCCTTCTCAATCTGACTATATTTTCGTTCGGCTGAGTTAAGAGTTCGGGATGCATGAGCAATTGGCTTTTCTTTACCATCAGGAAAACGATGACTGATAACGGCTCCAATTCCATAGTTTGAAGCATCGGCGGCTACAATTATTTCAAGCTTTGGATTATAATGAGTCAGCAACAGTTTAGAAGATAAAATCCTTTTTATTTCATCGAAAGAATCTTGGCATTCTTTTGTCCAGTGCCATGTTGTATTAGCCATCAAAAGTTGATTTAATGGTTGTCGCAATTTATACATCTGGGGTACGAACATACTATAATAACCAATCATCCCCAAGAATGAACGAAGGGTTGTAACCTCAGTCGGTCTGGGCATATTTTTGATAGCATTTATATTGTCTGGATCCGGTCGACGACCATCTTTATCAAATATATATCCCAGGTATTTAACAGACTCGAGCAGAAATTCACACTTTTCTTTTTGTAACTGAAACCCAGCTTGTGATATTTTAGTGAGCACCACATCTAACCGACGCATTAATTCCTGCGCGGAAGAGCCAACAACTATAATATCATCCAAATAAACTGCTACACCTTCGATGTTAGACACCATAGTATCCATTATCTGCTGGAAAATTGCTGGAGCTGGCTTAACACCAAACGGTAATCGGTTAAATCGATAAAGTCCACGGTGGGTATTAATGGTTAATAACTCCTTTGAATCTTCGTCAACTTCCACCTGTAAGTAAGCTTCAGACAAATCAAGTTTAGAAAAATAACGTCCACCGTTCAGTTTAATAAATAAATCCTCTGGCAAAGGTAATGGATATGAATGATTTTGTAAAACGTCATTTAATCCTGTTGAAAAGTCTGCACAAAGGCGAATAGCTCCGCTCGCTTTCTGAACTACTACAATTGGTGCTGCCCATGCCGAATAATTAACAGGTTGTATAACACCGAGTTTCTCTAGTCGGTCTAATTCTTTGTCGACTTTGTCAATAGCTGCATATGGAACTTGACGCTTTGGACGGAAAACAGGTTTTACATCCTGTCGTAGGTATAATTTTGCCTTCTCAATTGTGCAGCATCCCAATTTATT